AAAATAGAAAACTTAGCTAGGTGTGATGGCATGCACCTGTAGTCCCAGCTACCCAGGCAGGAGGATTGCTTGAGCTGTGGAGTTTGAGGTTGCAGTTTTCTATGATGATGCCACTGCACTCTAGCCAGGGTGCCCTGTCTCAAAAAAATAGAAATAGAATAGAATAGAATAAATAAAAATGTGAATATTTCCATAGCACTTACTATATGTAGAGCACTATTCTAAGTGTTTCATGTACTTCCTTTCATAAATCAATTTTTTCATCTACTAACAACACCATGAGTATTGGTCTATTATTAATCTCATTGTATAGACTGAACTGAAGTACAGAGAGGTTAGGCAACTTCCACAAGGTCATACAGGGGCAGTGTCTTGCCAACCAGCAAGGCCCCCACAAGATGTCAAGAATTCCTAAAATATAGAAAAATATAAAAAGAAACATGATTAATATATTGGGAAAGATTTTGTGCCCACTATTAATCTGGGAAACCATGCCTCGATATGGCTCATGTCAAAAATGGGTTTGAAATCTCTTTCTCTTACAATAATAAGTGACAGCTAATGTTTAGTGAAGTGAACCCTTAACTCTGATCTAGACATAACATTGGCTTACAGTGCACTATGAATTAAAGGGATGGTCACCATTACTTATCACATAAATTTTAAAATATGGGTACTAGTTTAATCTCCACTTTCCAGGTAAGTAAACCATAGTTATAATAAGGGATTTTTTTTTTAATTTGGATCTCACCAGCAGAGATTTCAGTTAACCATTCTTTTTAGTGTATAGTGTAACCATTATCATAGTTGGCCTATCGAATAAAAACAAATTCTTATGTAGGGATAGTTGCCTAGTGTTGGGCCAGGGTAAGACTCACTTTAACATCTTGTTGTCAAAGTCTTAACATCATCTTAACAAAATATGACCTGAAGAAACATTGAATAGGAACAACTTTTAGAGAATTCGTCCTGAAATTCTGAACTTTGTCTGACTTTAAACATTGAACCACCAAACTCTGTTATCTTAAATAATATGCTGTGGAGGACATTCCTGCCATCACTTACTCTGTGTAGTCTATGTTGTGCCAGAGAAGGTGAACATCCCATAGTTTAAATAACTCCAATTCAACTTCAAACTCAACTCCATTTGCCCTTTTTTACTGTGCTAGAGTAGTCAAACCTTCTCAGTCACAGACACACTTCCAATAAATTGAAGGAAAACATAAAGTGTTTGTAAAATTGCATAAAATAATTCTCCTGGACTATTTAGTTATTTGTCTCTATCTAGATACCTTTGTAATTCTTCCCTTTTTTTAAGGCAAGTCTGGGAAGGGGGAGAGAACTTCTGAGTATCTGAGACTTCTTTTTTTTAAGGAAACTGTGTATCACTGCACACATTTCTCTTTAAAATGGTAACTCCATAAAGCAAGTGGTCCCCAATGTGATAATTATATTTCCTGCATTATCTGTGTACAACCCCAGAAATTGCTGACAGAACCTTTGGGGTTGGAGTGAAAGAGAAGTGAGCATAATTGTCCCCTTAGCATGGAGACTCAGGTCTGCAAACACTAAGTCTCTGCTGACCTCATGTCTCTCAATGGGCAGCAGTATTTCCTTTCTATGAGAAGCAGGAAGAGAACCGTAGGGAAAGCAAGGAAAGTTGAAAACTAGGAAACCGAATGTATCCTCATATTTTATAAATCAAAATATTGGCAGCACTAAACAAACAGTAATTTTAATGTTATACCATACAGGTATGGGTATGCCAAAATCCTCTCTGAAATTAATTAAATTTTTTTTTTTTTTTTTTTTTTTTACCAATTACCAATCAGCATTGACCCCGCAATTCTGAAACATCCTGAGACTGAATAAAACCTAAGACTTTCTGAGAGGTAGTCTAAGCCATAAAAACTGATGCATTCACTATCACATTTTATTTTTCTAGCCTGGAAACTAAAAGGCGACAAATTCAGATGATGAAAATATTATTGTTTATTGGCTAAAAGAATTTGAAGTCACAGATACAGGAGAGAAAGGAGACCCAGCTGTGTCAAAATTCTGGAGAATAAGTGTTCAGATTTTGAAATTTAAGAAGAGTTTAAGGGGACTTTATAGCGCAGGATAAAATAAAAATGTAAATGAGTTAGCTAAGCCATTGTTTATGAAAATTATGTATAAACCTATATATATAAACCAAGATGTTAAGTGAGAGAATTTTGTACATGCAATATCACTATTAATCATTTGTTTATTTGTTTTAATGCTTTGAATAGCAAATAATCCCATTTTGTTCTTTGCATACATTTTCCTACTTCAGTTTCTGAGTCAGAAATGATCAGGAAACAATTAGCAAACTTAAGTTCACAAACTTATTTCCTTTTAAGTGTCAGTTAGGTTCCAGCAGAAGATAGAAGAAGATCTCCTATTTTAATGGAAATAATTTCATAGTATGTATGTTAACTTGGTATTAGAGAACTGAAAAAGCAAAAAGAGTAATATGAGTCATCATAAAGGCAATGACTGAAGAATCACTCCTCCTGGGACTTGGAAAACAAAGAGGAGAAGTTGGGATTATTAAATGTGCAAACTGCTTGTTTTTCCATTCTTGGGATACTTCACTTAGTAGTATGGGTTCCAGCTCTAACCAGGAAAATATATACTCACCAGCAAACTGGTATTAGCTGAGCAGCACCTAAGTGGACAGGTGACACATAGGTACTGCAGTAATAGTGTATTGGGCAGGGGGGAGTGGGGCGGGTATATACATACATAATGAGTGAGATGTGCACCATCTGGGGGATGGTCATGCTGGAAACTCAGACTTGTGGGGGGAGGGGGGAAAGGGCATTTATTGAAACCTTAAAATCTGTACCCCCATAATATGCTGAAATAAAAAAAAAATAAATGTGCAAACTGGTAGAAGTAGCTGCAGGGAGCTGGAACTTGGGTCTTTGAGAAGGACCTGCTGCTTCTGCTACCCCAGAAGCTAAGAAGAGCTCCTGCAGACTGGGACTACAGATGAGAATTTGCTGTTAGAGAAGTCGTGGTAGCCAAGGAGCTTAGAGGTCAAGCCCTGCAGAGCTGAAAGTCTAACCATAGAGAGGAGGGTGCTGGACAGCTAATATCTCTCTAGCATCACGGGTTTCTCAGTGCAAGCGTCAGAGTAGCACACTAAAGTGCACATAAATGGCCTGCAAGATACAAAATGTCCCACTAAGTACTGTGCCTCCCATTAATAGTAATGGTACATCATAAAGCAGCATGTTCTTCATCTTGGAGGGTGAAATCTCAACATACTTCAGACCATTAAACCTTAAGAAATTTCACAAAGATGGTGTGTCACTGAAATTTCATAAAGTTTACCTGTTTTCAGGTGTCTTACTAAAGCAACTGAAGTAATTGCTACTTTCTGCTCATCTAGTCTGATCAGCATGATGTCGTTAGCATAGTGGGCATTATTAAGGCATTGGAGATTTCTGCAGACTATGTTATGAGTGACAGCAAAAGATTCAATGTTGTTATGAAGCAAGTTTGTGAAGATGAATTGTAGGATAAAATTGAACTGCCTCTGATTGATGGATCTTGCAAACTAGAATAGTGAAAAAAAAAGTATTTTCTAGATAAAGAACCATGTTCTCAGCGCCAAGGGCTGTGTTGATTTACTTCTAAAGTTAATATACCTGGACCAGCAGCTACAATTAGAATTTCAATCAAATTATATTTATAATAATCACATCAGTTCTTAGAAATCCACCTCCTCTTTTCATAGGCTAAATAAAAATACTAAATGAGATACAACAATAGGTGTCAGCACTCATGCATATTTTTTGGTCATAGCTCTAACCTTTACAACCCTTGTAAGGGTATGGTAAGGTTTTTCCTTTATTATTCTGATAAGGTAAGGGAAACTCCAAAGGCTTTCCCTTGGCTCTTCCTTTCACAATAGCAGTCAATCTATGGGTCAGAAAGACAATGTGTGGATTCTGACATTTTTTTGTCTGTCTATTTCAATTACTCACTCAAGAACTGGGGAAATATATAGACAGCATAGGTAAAACTAGTGGGATTACTATAATTCAAACTTGGGCTGAAATTCCATTTATTGCCAAAACTTCATTGGCTCTAATTAACATGTAGACCACTGTCACATTATGGATTCCCAGAAATTGTTGTCAGATTGTATATAATATTTAATAATACTGCTATGTGCTAAATATTTTCTTTCCTCTTTATCACACACACACACACACACACACACACACACACAAACACACTTGAGGCAATGTGGCAGGGCCAATCCTTAAGGAGAAGAGACTCCCCCACTAAAGAAGAGCCTCCAGGTCTGTGAACTGATTATGACATGAAAACCAAGTAAGTGTCCATGACTTTTCATGATAGTAATTAAAATCCACCAGAACTGGAGATTTTTGCTTGTTTTTTAATGTGAATCACATATTTATTAGGCCAAATATCTATTTTATTCCTAGAGGCATTGTCATCAATTAGCAACCTCGAAAGTTCCCTATAGGTCCAAATAGTCTTATTACCACCACATCCTTGCTGCTCATTATGGTAAATACCCCACCATGTCCAATGCAGTTATGTACTGCCAATCATCTTTTGTTCCTCTGGGACCCTGTCCTCCCCTTTGAAATCAGGGAGTTATTTCCCATCCTCAGACCCAGCCTAGATAGGAAAGCTACCACAGAGCTTACCAAGGATACTAGCACTCTCATTATTAATGTGCATCTCAGTGCCTTAAAAAACCAATTGCCTTCTGGGTAATCTTGGGGGATGAAGTCTGGAGTGATGACTATGCAAGCCTCAAATGCTAATTCCATTCCACATTTCCATCTCCCTGAAACTTTGGATTCTTTCCTTTACATTATTTCAGGTAAATTGGGCATCTCAATCACATTGAATGAAGAAATCCATTAAGTTCAAATTGTAGTCAACCAACAAGACTGTTATCAAGTCCTCTAGATTAATGAACATTTTAATCCCGAATTTCTGGCAAGTGTACACACATCAAGATATTTAACCTAATCAAAAGTTACGTTCTGTCTTCATGGGATTGGGCTGCTATAATACAAGCATAGTCTGGGCAGTTTAGAAAACAACCATTTATTTCTCACAGTTCTGGAGGCTGAGAAGTCCAGGATCAGATGCCTGGTGAGGGCCAACTTCCTGTCTTGTAGGCAGCCACCTTCTCACTGTATCCTCATGTGGCCTGGAAGAGAATATAAGGCCAGCTCACTCATGTGTCCTCTTATAGAGACATTAAACCAATTATGAGGGCTCCACCCTCAAGACCTGTTATAATTACCTCCCAAAAGCCCCATCTCTAAATGCTATTGCATAGAAATTGGGGTTTCAACATATGAATTTGAGGGAGGGGAGCACAAATATTCTATCCATAGCATATTCTAACCCTGCTTTTATTGTTAAGGGGCTACCTTAGAAGCTGTTAAAATCCATTCTCATATATAACTCCCCGGTACCTGCTGGTAGAAGTTAGCAAAATCTTGAAAACCATTTAGAGTATTAGCTATTTTTTTCTGGATCAGAGTTTGTGTTTGTTCTTTTATAAGATTCTAAGTATGACCCTAGGATTCTAAGTTATGACATTAGTTGCGATAAAGGTAGGTGTATGGTGGAACATGAGGAAAACAGGCATTCTCCTGTAGGACACCCCCACTGAGATGAAGTTATTATAGAGTCTTCAAGCAAGGAATATTTAGACTCCTCAGACAGAAGAGGGTAGGCTGTTTTTGTTAGAAATAAGGATTCAAAATAACTTGAGGTTTCAGTATCCTCAGCCTTATCTGAGTCCACTCATATATTCCCATTCCTTATTTTAGGGCCCCAAAACTTCTCATTAAATACCCCACCTTTCACATGATACACTTGACAAAGCTGTTTAATCCAATATAAGTTGTAATTCTGCAACATTCACAATTATTGTCTGGATTCATTGCATTGAACCCTGTGACTATAAGAACAAAATATTCTTTTATGGGCCACCATAGAAGTCCTCTACTCCTTAACTGTGACCCGAGCTTATCGTTTCTTTCCTTAGGCACTCCACAACACTCAGCAAGTATTCCACACCAAAGTCCTTGTTACCACCTTTATTGCTATCACCATCAGATGCAAGTCATTTCATCTTCCAAAAGTCTTGCTTAAGAGGTCAGTTAGTCACACACAACCATGGATGATAATTAACTATCATTTTACTAAGTGCTACGGATTACTAGCATTTCATTCCTATATCAAGGAGTTTCATTCCTATATCATTCCTATATTTCTTTCCTATATCATTCCTATATCTTTGGCCTTGCATTCAAGCCCAAAGAAACAGACAACCAAAGCCCAAATTTTCATCTCTGAGGGTTGTTTCCTGGAACCATTCTTGTTACCAATTTCTATATTATTCAGTTTCCAGTCATGATAAAGAACAACTTAGCAAGCTTTTAACAAAGCAAATTTAATGTAACATATTTAACCAGATACTGGATAAGTGAAAAGGCGAAAAGAGATTACAGAGATATCCCTGGAGTAGTAACCCCAGCAAACGGCTAGAGAGACTACAGACGAGAAGGGATCCCACCAGGTGCTCTGGTGGGCTATAACTGGGGTCACAGAATCTCAGAGAAGTGCCCCCCCAAAATGGGGAATTCAAACCTCCAAACAAGGTAGGCTGACATTTCCAAGGAGACATTAAGGGATGCATTCTGTAGTATTGTAGAAGAGCAAACTGAAATTAGCATTATACAGAAACCAGCCACCAAGATGAAGAACAGTTTCTGTGGTGACACAAACAGTAAGTAGCAAGTTTGTTTTTCATTTCCCAATCTTACAGATTCCATCTAGCTTTTCTTCTTGGTCATGCCTGACAGTAAACCAGCCATCACAGGAGAAATGAAATTTGCACAGTCCCAGGCCCAATATTCTAGAGCATGGTGTAAAAGGGTTGGCTTTTATACGACCTTGCTAATCACCACCAACTGAATAATTCAAATAATCCCAATATCCAAACAAATTGCAGGTGTTACCTAAAAACATGAATAAGGGACTAAACTTTAGCATTAGCTCAAAATAATTTCCCATATTAATGTGTAGGATAGACTTTTTTTTATTCTTCATGGTAGCACAACTAAGAATAAAGTAATAATGTGCTTTTTAAAATCTGTCCTAATTAACATGAAATGAGTTTTGCTGTAATAAAAATTGTGATATTCTGGAATTGGTGACTAAGAGTATTTGCTGAATTTCAGTGTATGACATATTTAAGAAAAGACTATACCATCTGGATAAAAGAAGAATGAGGGTGGAGGAAGAAGCATGTTCTCTGGATAACCTTTAGAGTTTCTTCCCCACTCTTGGTGGCATTCTGGGCTGTTTTTTAAAAAATATCAATGTTCATTTCACATCGTATCTATCTTTGTCTTTACCACCAGCAGAGCCTTGCATTTGTATAGAGTTTTGAATTTTTTTTTAAATGTTCACACTTGCATTAGTTTTCTGTGGCTGCCATAATAAATTACCACAAATATATTGGCTTAAGCAATATAAATTGATTATCTGGAGGTCAAAAGTCTGACTGGGTCTCACTAGACAAAAATCAGGGCATTGACAGGACTATGTTCCTTTCTAGAGGTTCTGGGGAAAATCAGTTTTCTTGTCACTGGTAACCTTAGCGGCCAGCCATACTTCTTGGCTTGCAGCTCCTTTTCTCAATCTTTACAGCCAGTAGTAACTTTGCATCTCGCCACCATTGCTCTATAGTCATGGGTCCCTCTGCTTACACCTGGGGATGATTATCTGATTTTAAGGAGCGGTGCGATTAGATTAAGCTCACCAGGATAATCTGGGGTAATTTACTCCTTTCTAGGTTCTTAAATTAATCACACATGTAAAGTCCCTTTCCCAGTGTTAGTTAATATATTCATATTTTCCGGGAATGAGGACATGGATATCTTTGGGGGCCATCTTCTGCCTATCAAAACACTCATACTCTTTTTGAGGTACACAGTCATCTTGTAGGAGTGCAAGGCAGGCATTTGATGGGTAAGGCAATTGTAACATACAAAAATTAAGAAACTTGCTAAAGATCGCACTTTAAGTAAATGGCCAGAGTCCAAACTAAATGCACATTTCAAAAATCATTTTTTTTAATACTGATGTCATTGAATCATGACAGCCAACATTTAAAATTACCCAGCCCAGTTCTTTATGACACAGAGGAGGAACTGAGGCCCAAGGAATGTCTGCCTTACTCCGGATCAATGCCACTGAGAGGCAGACCTCGTATTTCAAGAAAGGACCAGAAACAAAAACAGAACCTCTGTATTTATTATACCACTTTGCCTCTACAAAATTGTCTCATATATTTATAAATTATTTTAAACATCAAATTCACAGTCAACATTTCTTTGGGCATCTGGGCATGTGCCTGCATGTGGATTTGCTATAAGACAGACCTCACATGCACAGAATTGGCTCATATCTCTGATTTTTTTTAGAATTTTTGGACTTGAATCAAATTGTTTAAGGCTCAATATGTGTGTAACCAGTATGTTGAGCAAGCACGACTCCTGGCATAATCAAAACACAACTTTATTTTTGTCTCTCACCATCCTTCTTAAATGTGTTTGGTTCTGATAATGTTTCTCTGCCCCTGGAAGAAAACTTCAAGTCCGTGATATTTTTTGCTCACTTCTTTTGGTAATAAAATAGCTTGAAGCCACTTTAAGTAACAAACTGGTCCCAATTCAGAAATTAAAATGTCCAGCCCAAGACACTAATGCAGACTTTGAATCTGATTTAGCACTAAAACATTCTCATTTCCCCTGCCCGAGGAAGCCTGAATCTCCTGGAAGTCTGAAGCGGGAAAGAGGAGCACGGTGGACTTAATTTTTATTCCTTTACCTTGTGCTTTCGCTTACTCCCCTACTCCACCTTGATGGATGCGTTCTGACTCCTACATAATTGGAACAGGGTGAGGGTGGCGTGGAAAAGAAAAATGGAATCTTTTATTTAAAAGGTAGTTTCATAAGCTAGTTTTCTGCTCTGCGTTCTTGGCAACCATTTAGAGCTGATCTGTTTTCTTTGGATGCTCCCAGATACTCTGGAGTTTCATGGCTGGGCCCCTCTGTTTGCAAGTCCTATACCATGGGCATGATATTGTGGGTGTTGTCTTGCCCTAACTTCAGCAACCCCTGGATAGCCACAGTTGCACCTTAGTTTTTGCTACTAGGACCTGAATCTCTTGTTCTTGAGACCTCCTTTTGGCACTACTAGACTAGACCCCAGATAACCCCAGGCTGAATATTATTCTCCCACAGATTCAATTCTGGTCCAAGAGAAAAACCTACATATCCTTCATACTAACCAAGCTTTTTATGATACAAGTGTATTGCAAGATAACTACAAAATAGCAATCCGCAAACCATCTATATTCCATTAGTAGGAGTTAGACTGTGACCTATTATCAAAGAAATCATATATTAAGTTTCCTGTGTCATCTTGGGAAGGCTTACTAAACAAGGATTGGTGCTAAGGAATTAGAACAACCCTCTTCCAGAGTTGCTGGATTTTTCTTATAAAATTCTTTATTTTATATGTATGTGTGTATTTGCATACACATAAATACATACATATACAATACATAGATATAAATATATAGAAAGGTGTGTGTGTGTGTATATATATATATAAATCTAGATGAAAATTTCAAAATTTTAGAACTACTTTAAAGAATTTCCTTTGAATATTTCCATATATTAATTCGGAAAGGTACCTTGGAATTTTTTATCTCTGTACCTTGGTGCTTAGTTAGAATATCACCTTTAATTATTTTTTCCTTGTGATTCATTGCCAATTTATTAAAACACATATCCTATAGCAATGGTTCTTAAACTTTCATGTGCACAAGAATTCCCTGGAAAGTCTGTAAACTTTCTGATTTAGTGAATTTAGATGAGGAGAAATAATTTACATTTCTAACAAGTGCACAGGTGATGCTAATGTTGCTGATTTGGGGGCCACACATTAAGAACCACTGTCATAGGGCAACGGGGTGCAAAGGTAGCTATCCTCTGGAACCCTTTTGGAGTTTTTTAACATTTGGGAGTGATGGAACATTCTTAAATGTGCAGTTATTATATAAGATTCCATAAATGTAACTTGTCCTCCCATCGTCTGTGATCCTAATGCCATCTTTCCTTC